CGAACCACGGCAACTGGTATAAATCTGATAAAAAAGTATGCAAAGTGAAATTGTCTAAACAGCGGTATGTTACGAATTTGGGTTCTATTTTGAATTTCTTTGTTAAATATTCAACGTAAACTAGCCTGTGATCTGAAATGCCTTGGGATGATAAAGTACCAGATGCTATAACATAGTACTCGACATTTTTCTCTACAAAATAATTGTTCACGAAGATGATTGCCTCCTCACTCGACGAAAATATTTGTCCTCCGTGCTCAATTTTTAGACGAGGGAACAAAAACACGTCTCTTGGGGCTGGATCTGGTGAGTAAGGCGGATGGTCAAGCAGTTCTAACCGTAATTCAGCTTGTCAAATATAATAATGCGTAGTATGCTGTTGTATTATTTTGTAATAAGTTGGACATATTATTTTTCGTTGAATTTTAGATACCAAAACACATGTTTTTTCGTATAAAACATCAACTCTCAGAAATAACCTTAAGGTCAACAGAGCCAAGCCATTTAAAAGAAAAGTCGTTAAAATCAACTGGTTGATGCTAAGAAATTCGATATTTTGAAATATTCAACCTCATCATTCATTTCATTATCATGAAAGGGTCGAAAATATATTATTCAGTCTGCGTACCCCATTCAGAATAACAGTCAAAAAGTACTTAAACGTATAATAAGTATCGAAATTTATGTTAGAGTTCAAAGGTTCAACGACATGATAAAATCAAGACATCCGAGATAGTCTCCATATCTTTTATTCAAGACAGCGAAAATATCAAAATAACTCTTGCAGTGACATCTATATATCAGTAGCAGCCTCACGGCATTAGAAAAATCGGGAAAGAGTCAGTAATTCTTGCAGACTTATTCGCCCGACCATGAGGTGGCGATAAGAGTACCAGTCTTGGAAACAATTTCAGAGTTTCCGATTGGTAGGAACTTTTCTGAGATAAAGTTAATTACATCCCCTAACAAAGTTAAGGTGGAGAGTTTTTGGGAAAGATTTAAGGCAGTCGTGTGCGGAGATTTGGTGAATCCAGTTTGGTTCAATTTAGTTGATTCAGAGAACATTTTCGAGTTCCTGGTGAGAGTTTGGTGGAGTTTTGGAGAAAGAGTGGCTTTTGTTATAGACTTCAGGAGAGTC